AAGTTGAAAGAGTTGATCGGATGTAGACTTATGTGTAAACAACTCCGAAATGGTGTTTTGATGGACTCGATAGATCCATAGTATGATTTCAGACTTAGGAGTGTGCCTGAATATTGATTTGGAGGTACATAGTTGATTTTGGCTTGAATTAGCGAAAGTTGGAAGAATCGAAGTTTGGAGAATTGAGAGGTTCGATCGAGAGTTGACTTTGTGGTTACCAGGCTTGAATTTTTGTTCTGGAAGTTGGAATAGGTCAGTTGTGTCATTTATGACTTGTGTGCAAAATTTGAAGTCAATCAGAGTTGATTTGATAGATTTCGGCATCTATTGTTCAAGTTATAAGTTCATTAGTTTCAATAGGCTTGAATTGGGGTGTGATTCATGTTTTTGATGTTGTTTTACGTGATTTGAGGCCTTGACTAAGTTCGTATCGTGTTTTGGGATGTGATGGTTCGTTTAGATGGCGTCCCGGGGGCCTCGGGAGTGATTCGGATTGGAATTTGAACTAAGGGAAGTGTTGTTGCTACTGATATCCGGCTCAATCGCACCTGTGGAGGATTGGTGGCAGCTGCGATATCACAAAAATGCCAAGGGGTTGCAGATGCAGTTCTGGGTGGGCTAGGGAATTTGCGTAGGTGCGAAGAGGATTCCGCACATGCGAATTCGCAGATGCAGAAGGAGGATCGCAGACGCAAAAAGGGGGCTGGTGAAGCAGGTCCACAGAAGAAGAAGGTTTCTCGCAGAAGCGTACTCGCAGATGTGATCTTGGGACTGCAAGTACGCGAGGTCGGGTTTCTAGTGAATTTTCGCAGAAGCGGAGAAAAAGGTCGCAGGTGTGAGATGTCTGGGTAGAATTTAAATTCGAATTGTTTGAGGCTTTTCTTATTTTTGGATTTTTGAAGCTCGGTTGGAGGCGATTGTTTGATAAAGGTTTCGCGGGATTTATTGAGGTAAGTCACTTTTGATATGTTATATTCAATAATATTGATTACCCATTGAATTTTCCACCTAGTTTATGTGTTTTTAAGGTAGAATTTTGGGAGTTTTGGGCTAGGGATTGGAGAGTAAGAATTGGGGATTTGAGTTTCGATTTGGTGTCGTATTTGAGTAACTTTGGTATGGTCGACTCGTGGTTGTATGGGTGTTTGGATTTTGTAACTTTTGTTGGATTCCGAGACAGGGGCCCGGGGTTGACTTTTTGATTTTTGTTAAAGAACTTAGTTTTGTCATATGGAATTGATTCCTATAGCTTGTGTTGATTGTATCGAGTTGTTTGTGGCTTGATTCGAGCCGTTCGGATGCCGTTTCGCGAGGCAAGGGCTTATTTGAGTAGAGATTTGCACGGGTTGAGGTAAGTAATACTTCTAAACATGGTTCTGAGGGTATGAATCATTGAATTACATGTTATGTGGTTGGTGTTGAGGTGACGCACATACTAGGTGACAGAAGTGTGGGCGTACACCATAGAAATTGTGACTCAGTCAATTCCGTAGAACTGTGTAGTCATCTTATATGAATATTATTAGTGTACCCTATGTGTTAAAGAATTTGAGCTGTGATTTATGTCAGAAATCATGTTTAGGCTATGTGCTGGTACTATTGTGACCCATAACGGTCGTTCTTTTGTTGTTGAGTTATTTGCTTAAATTACAGTTATGTACTCAGTCACATTCATCATTATATATCATATCTCAGTCTCTATTACCATTTATTTTCACATCATGTATTATTGTTTTGGCTGATTAGCATGAGTGGCATGAGCCCGAGAGACTGGAGAGATTAATGACTGAGTGAGGTCGAGGGCCTGTTTGTGAGTGATATTGTTGGGATCGGGCTACACACCACAGCGGTATCTATTGACTCATGATGGGATCGGACTGCAAGCCGTAGAAGGTATTATTGACTCATGATGGGATCGGACTGCACGCCGCAACAGGTATTATTGATTCATGATGGGATCGGGTTGCGTGCTGCAGCATCGTTTATTAGTGCTTGGGCAGGATCTGCCCCTCTGGAGTCTGACATACCAACAGTGAGCGCATGTATCTTACAGTGCTAAGTGACTGAGTGTGATGAGCGAGAATTGAGGCGGTCAAATTGAGTACTCTGAGATGTGAGTACGTGAGGTTTTCATCGTGTTTCATCACATATGACATGCACATGACATGTCGATATAGAGATGTAATATCCCTCATATCAGTCATACTTGGCATATTTTATCTGTATTAAGCTTAACTGTTAAACATGGAAGCATGTCTACATTCCTGTACCGTGTTCCGGCAGATTATGAGTTACTCTAAGATATTATTGTCATATTTCCTATCATTTTGGTATTGTTAAATTCTATATTTGGACGGTATTGGTTGAGCTCGTCACTTTTTTCAGCCCAAGGTTAGTCTTGTTACTTATTGAGTATATTGTTCGGTTATAATCATACTATACTCTACACTTGTGTGCAGATACAAGTATTTTCGGGCATGGCGATTGCTGATTTTGGAGCTTTATCAGTTCGGAGACTATCGAGGTAGCTGCTTTGCTTTTCGCATACCTTGACTCTCCTTCTTTTGCTTTTTAGTTTATTTATACTATTCTACCTTCCTAGACAATCTTTTAGCAGTCACACCATGTTATTGTATAGATGCTCATGTACTCAGTGACACCCGGATTTTGGGGAATCTTGTATTGAGACGCGGTATTTTTCTTCTCAGTAAATTATGAGATTTTACTCTTAAGCTTATTTCATTATGTTTTCATCTTTAAAGATGTGTGGTTTATTGTGATTGTCGGCTTGCCTAGTATTGTAATATGCACCATCACGACATGTGAGATTTGGGTCGTGACACCATGCCGCCGATGTAGGCAGAGCATATTATATATAGCAAGCCGTCTGCTCAACTGAACAGAGCATGTTGTATATAACGAGCCGCTGGCCCCACCAACTGGAGTTATGTATATAGCAAACCGTCGGCTTAATCAATCGGAGCACCCTGTACAAATTGAACCGCCGACTTCGCCAATCAAAGCCCTGTATATAGCAAAATTGTTCTCTTTGCCAACAGGAGCATTCTACACTATCACTCTGCCACATCGGAGATCAGAGTAGATAGCTGCAAACCTCGTCACCAACGTTCTGCCGATCGACGGCCCCAATTTAGTTTCGCAGTCAACAGTACCTCTTGGGCATGCTCCTTATTTATTTATTTTTATACTGAATGTTTTGAGGTCTTCCTCAAGCAGCTTACAGGCACGATTACATTTTCAAGTCAGAAACTTCCATTGTGCGGAAATACTTTACATTTCAATGCAACCACTCCCATCACGCGGAGATACTTTACAACTTCTCCCATCACGTGGATATACATTCTACATTACAACTATATTACTCCCATCGTGGGGAGACACTCCTAACATGAGGAGACTTAATGCTCCGACACCTGCGGAACGGTACACAGCCCGACTAACAATCAAGTCAAATTCAAGTATCCTGTCATCTCAATCCCAAATAACGGCTAGCCGGCAGCCAGGTATCATCATTCCTGCATCATTTAGATCACATCTTAACATATTCTGCATTGCAATATATGGGTATGTGTGTATTTCATTTTTGCAGGAACAAACATTGCTACGTGGACTCCTTCTAAGCAGAAAACAAAGCTACAATGCTCTGAGGGACAGTAGAATCATAAGCGGGCCAAGGATCTGAGCTCAAACTAAAATACGATCAATGGAAGTCTAATTTTCCATATCTTTCAAATCAAGACGCAATTTAGAACTATCATGAGTACCCAATTTCTCGTCTCGTTGTATCATCATAATATGATACTGAGGCAATTCCTGCGAGCATCGCCTCCCCAAATCATCACTCCAGAGCTACATGAGGCTTGATCCTCGTTAAGTCCGAGGTATGTAAGCAATCCAAATTCAACATTCGGCCCAACCACCCAAAAATCCTCCCGGAATCTTTCTTAACTCCTAATTCTACAACTCATAATCTTCATTAAACTCATATGCTATTTCTACAATGCATTCCTAAGGTCGGGACAAAATTGGCCTTGGTTCGATTTCTTTGCCCGAAAATTCTTGCATCGTCTCCGGACAAAAAGAGGCAGCTGATGACGACCAATTTTGATCCCCCCTTTTAAAATTAATTTATTTATACTTAATAATTTGCAATAAATATTTTGAAAATATTTTTTAATTAATAATACCTATTTTTACAAAAGAATTAATTATTAATGGCGTTGAAATTAATAATTTAGTATTATAATTACAAAATATATCATACTTACTATTTTAAGATTATTAAAATAACCTTTATATACATTACACATGTTTTATAATTAATTTAACGAATTATTCCTTAATTTCTAATTAATTAGCTTACTATTTTAATAATTCAAAATTAGTGTCATAATTTAGAAAACAATATATTTTTAAAAATAATTAATTACAACGCTTAGTAGTGTATTTGATAATTATAATTTTTACTATATTTTATTGAAAATAATTAAGTTTATTTAAATTAATTTCAAAAGGTTAAAAAGTTAAAAGGCTACAACTGCACTCTCTTAGTTAAACATAAAATGACCATTAATTCAATTATTTTTTCCCAAATACCAAGCCCAATTCGGGCTTGACCCAGTCCAAACGCCCTATCTCCTATCTACTTTGGCAATCCATGCCATTCCCTTTAAACCAATAGCGGTGTGCATCTTATAGATCAACCACTTACAAACACAATGAATCCAAGCCGTCCATCTTATAGATCAACCACTCCGAATTTATCTTCATTTTTCCTTTAATTTCGCATCCTATCATACTTAATTGTGGCCGTTGAAACCAGGAGATCCAACGGCCCTCATATTTTCTCCTTAAAAACTTTTAAACCCGGAATTATCAAGGCCATTGATCTAAAAGATCAACGGCCTAGATCTATTCTCTTGACTTTATCCCAATAGAAAGACTACCCAAGCCCAAAACCCTAAATCATTTCACCCAAGACTCCGCCCCCTTCCCCTTTCCTCTCTCTATTCTCTCAAACGCCATAACAAAATCAGTCACAAAACTTGAACAAATTGTACAAGGTCACAAAACCCAACCCTAAATCATTCTTTTGCTTCCCTATCCGCGATTCTCACCGGTGTTTCCCCATTTTGTCATACAAATTTGAAATATCGAAGTCCTATGACCTAGATGCAAACGTGAAACTTTTAGTCCTCAAATCCTTCGATGATGCAATGAAATTCCTCATGCATGAGCACCTCATGATGATTATTCGAAACCAGAGGTCAAATGCAATGACCTTTGGATTTCTGGTCTTTGTCCGATGGTTTTCTCACATGTAATGGCTGTCACCCACTCAGGTAAAAGTCTCACTGATCTTTCCCCTATGTTCATTTTTGATTTTACTCAATTGTGCTTGCATCACCACTCCTCCGTCACTCTTCACTACCGATTTGAATTTGTGAACCATAACGCTTCAATAGCCACTATAATTTGGTGATTTTAGTAGAGAAATTGGGGATTTTGTAGAAACTTTTCAAAAATGAAAAATGGAGATTTGAAGGTCAATTTGAGGTTGGAATTGGATGATTTTTGTATGGTTGGACTCATAATCGAATAGGTGTTCGGAATTTATGAATTTTGTCTGGTTCCGAGGTGCGGGCCCGGAGTTGACTTTTTGATTTTGACAAAGATCGAAACTTTATTTTTTGAAGTTGTTTCCTACGGTGTTATTTGTTGATATTGAGTTGTTTGTGACTAGATTTGAGTCGTTAGGAGGCCGATACGATGGGATTGGCTTCTTGGACTATGATTCACGTGTTTTGAGGTAAGTAATATTTCTATACTTGAAATTGAGGGTAATTATCCTTGGAAAACATGTTTTGCTTGTTGTATTGGGTGACACACATGCTAGGTGATGGGCGTGCACCGTGGTAATCATGATCCATGTTTATGTTTGTACTATGTTGATATCAAGTCTTATTTTATCCGTGTAATCCCTGCTTGTTATAGTAGTTCATCTATGATTCATGTTAGAAATTATGTTTAGGCTAGTGCTTATTCGGTTGAGACCAAATGATGTTATTTATGTTGTTTTGAGTTATCCTCTTTGATTGTAATTATATGCTCAGTCATGATTCTTCATTTGCATATCATATCTCAGTCTCCGTTTATCATTCAATGTTACATCACATGTTATCATTGTTGGGCTGAGTGGTACGAGATTGTGAACCCTTGAGAGTTGAGAGATTGATGACTGAGGTAGGCTTGAGAGATGAGTTGTGAGAGTTATTGTGGATCGGGTTGCATGCCGCAGCAGGCCATATTGGCTTTACTATTATTATTATGTAGATCGGGCTAAACGCCGCAGCAGGACTTATTTGCTTTATATTAGCGCTTCAGCAGGATCCGCCCCTCCAGAGTCAAACATACCAGAGGGGCATTGATGCCAGGCACCCTTACAATGCTGAGTGATTGTGTGTGTGTTGAGTGGGCATTTGACAGACATATTGAGTATTATGAGAGTGTGAGTACTTGGGAATATCACCGTGAAATCATTCATTTGGCATGTATATCTGACATGTAGGCATAGAGATGTACCATTCCTCATGCTAGTTGTAATTGACATGTTCCTATCATTGTTGAGCTTTAATTATTGAACTTGAAAGCATGTCTAAATTTTCTGTAACTTGAACGAGCTGATTATGATAGTTCATCTGAGTTGTTTATTGTTATTTCCATCAATATACATGTGTTGTCATTATATTGGACTCTGGCTGTCTTCTTCTGAGCTCGTCACTACTTTCAGCCCAAGGTTAGTTCTATTACTTATTGAGTACATAGGGTCGGTTGTACTCATACTACACTCTGCACTTCGTGTGCAGATCTATATACATCTAGACGTGGTGATTGCTAGATCCGTCCTAATACCTGCTAGGAAACTTTAAGGTGGCTGCTATGACATCCGCAGACCTTGACTCTCTTTTCCTTTATTTTCTTTAGTACTGTTCTATTACTCAAACAGTTGTACTAAGGATTTGGTTTATGTTTTGATACACAGTATTGCTCATGTACTCGTTGACACCCGATTTTGGGGTAGCTGTAGCATTATTTCAGTTATATGTATTAGATATTTATGAGATTTCTGCGGTTGAGTTTATTAAAACATATTTATTCAAATGTTTAGCTGTTATGTGATTGTCGGCCTGCCTTGCAAGTGAGTTAGGTGCCATCACGATGGGTTGGGTTTTTTGGTCGTGTTAGTTGTAATACTAGTGAATCATCCCCAAATCAATACACAATGTACCTCCCAAAACACCTACCCTTCTCAGGCGATACAAGATTGTGCTAGCATCCTTTTAAACATCTAAAACCTCCTATGTTGTCTAAAACTCGTGACCTCCTTTTGTTACTGAACCGCATCATTGTCCATGCAAATCTCAATCCCACACGATGCACTGCAACTATCAATGCTAACCTATGAAAATATGAAAATCTCATAATCAACTCTGAATCACAAGTAGGATAAACACCCTATCAACCAGAAACCTTCTACTTAACCTAATTTGGGAGAACATCACAACACGTAGCTGACCTTCAATACTCGTAGAAGACATCAACTTCGAACTGTGGTCATAATCATCGTGAACTCTTCGGAACCTTTTATCATATAACAAATCCATCATAACTGAATCCCTGTAAATCGACCAAGTCACGCAGATTGCTAAACCCAGAAGTACCTTAACCTGAAAAGGTTGCGCTAAAAAACCTTTTAATGAATCTAAAGCAACTTCCCTTATCTCTCTAATACTTCCATGTAGAACTAATAATGATATTGAGACACTGCAAGCCTCGACGCCAACCCATGCAAATCTCAAGTCCTAGCCTTACCCCAAATTCGAAAATCTTTAAATGCCACATATGAGTCTTGAGCCCATTGGAACCTTCTCAAAAGTCATTCACCATTACCCAATCTCCAATGCACAGACAATACGCGTGAAACGTCTAGTGCTCCACCAACACATGATTAACCAAAATGAAGCAACTCGTGATTATGCTTCCTTGCACAATAAATCCACAATGAATATCAAACCTATCATTCTACAACCTTTGTATACCTATAAAGTATATTACATCAATGCGTCCAAAAAACTCCTTGCCCAAATCATCCTCGAAGTCATCCTTTTCAAGTCATAGCTAATCTATAAGCGTTCCTTAATCCATAAATTGATATAACAGATGACCCTGCAATCTGGTCATCGATAGCAGACTCCCCCACTTGGCTCGAAGCCATACAACACATTGTTGGTGAGCCACAATACCTTTCTTTCATAGTTTCCCCGATCCCGCATTGTTAATTAGCTGAATACTATGTAAACTTATGTAACACTAGTCATATAACACTCCAAAGAGGCTGCCCGGTGCATACTCATCCTTGTGACAGTCAAGTCAACTTTTTCAAATGCTCCAAATTGATAGTATATGTATTTCCCTTAATAAAAGTGTCATACGAAATACATGACCTCAAATCTTTACGCATGAGATAACCCACCAGTTAGCCTCAAATAACCACCTTCCTATGATCCTACCATGGTCACAAAAAGTAAGTAATCAATTAATTCTCCTGAGTCTGGACTCGTCAACAAGATATAAGAATCATCCTCATTCCTCAAATGAACAACCGAACCGACACACTCACTTTTCAAAATTGCACAACACATCAAGACGGTGATCAAGTATCATAGCCATTCACATCCCATCAACAACATCACAAGCCAACGGTGCACCACTGATATCGAGTGCTCAACATCCCCTATGAGTGACTTGGAGAAATCGAGAATACAAGCTTCAAGCTGAAACAAAGTCGCATGACAAGGAAAGAAAGCCTGAAAGTTTCCTAGATTCCCTATAGCCTCTCAAACATAGGTATGGACGCCATCATACCGATCTGCAAGACTCTACTAGGTACTTGCTTATGACTCGTAGAACCTATGAACCTAGTGCTTTGATACCAACTTGTGACGATCCAAAATTTCACTAAGTAATAATGGCACCTAACCCAACCCGCTAGGTAAGTCCAACAATATAAGTCATTACTAGGATAAGAAACCAACAAAGATAATAAATAAAATAGCCAAAAGAGTTTAATATAACTGTTCCAGGGACTAGTAGTACAAGTCACGAGAGACTATGAATAAGAGTACAACTTCGGTTTGAGGAAAAATACATCATCTGTTCGAAATTTACATAAACATAGTTATAACTTCTAATCTACCACAAACAAATGGTAGCTTGTGTGAGAAGTGTTGGTACATCTTCAATGCTAGACTCTCGAACTCCACATCCGCTCTTCCCCAAATATCTGCACACAAGGTACATAAATATAGTATGAGCACAACCGACCCTATGTACTCATTAAGTGTCTTCACTAACCTCAGTGAAGTAGTGACAAGGGTTAAGTCAAAAGATAATCACTAATATAATCTATTCAGTTAAATTTGCAATAGGAACAATACTAGAAATAACAAAGTAGATTACAAGAATAAATATGAGAAGTAGTAAATAATAAACTAAGAGAAATCACGCTCATCTTCCTTAATATCATAACCAATCCTTTTCTAACAGCTAAAGTCATGAGGTTAAAGCGATAACCACCCAAACAAAAACCCATGAGTCTTCATAATATGAGGAATGTGTTCAAGATATCAAATCAAATGGCATGGCAACACTCTTCGTGCATTTACCTCATCCTCACCAAATATATGCATGTATGTCAAATCAATTGGTGTGGCAACACCCTTCGTGCATTTATCTCATTCTCAATAAGCATATGTATAATAGTACCAACCAAGTATAAGGAATACCAGCAATAGTAATGATAAAATAGAAGGTGCACAGATAATAGTAAAAAATAAGGCAGAAGCATATGGATAACGGTAACAGAAAAGGTAGTAGGCACAGAAGTAATGACGGTAAATAAGGTAGAAGAACATAGATTTCAATTAAAAAAAACAAGGTAGAAGGTTTAGATAAAACCATGCCAAATGAGCGAAAACATAGATGCAAATATAATAAGCAAGAAAGTATGCATGAATGTGACAAATTACGTAGATAGATGGCATGTATAGAACAACAACAAATAAGGTAGAAGGCAAAGATGTGGCAACAACAAGCAATATAGAAAGCATAGGTGCAACAATAACAACTTAGGATAAAGGCATAAATGTATACCCAAGGAAAAGATAACACAATATAATGCATGTCTCTTGTCCTCTCCCACATAGAAGCACCCTTCGTTCCATGAACTCTCATCCTCATATTATAATATAAAAATAATGGCACAACATCACCCTTCGGGCTTTTACTCTCTTCCTCACATGATAATATAAAAATAATGGCATGGCATCACCCTTCGTGATTTACACTCTTCCTCACCAAGAACATATACATCGGCAACAAAAAGGGTAAGAAAAATGGATAACATCAAGAAGAATGGTTAAGTAAAATACACCATATGAATGATAATCACAGCTCTTGCACCAATAAACATCAAGAATCCCACTGTTCAAGTATCTCAAAAAAGCTCAAACATGATCTTCAACATAAGTATGGAATACAAGTATCTCAAGAATAACAGACATGGACATGTATTCGAGATTTAGGTATAGCTATGGCTGAATGCACATCAATAGTTTCATAAAGAGTCCATCATATTTAATCAAGTTTTAGTAGGCTGAAACATAGTCTCTAGCATTGAAATTGTGCTCATACTATTATAGAAGTCAACTAAAACATGAGGCAAGGAAATCACAAAGTCCAACAAGACACAAAAAAATATATAATCTGCCCCGAGCATGGATAACCCTATCATATGTATATACGCTCGTCACTTCGCATATACATCATCCCAGCATGTAGCAAACAATATCATTTTATTAGGAAAATTCCTTCAACAAAGCTAGGCAAGACACTTACCTTTTGTAACGACCCGACCGACTATTTTGAGTATACTAGCCTTTTTTCCTATTTTATGCTTTATATATGTGCATTTATGGTTATGCGACTTTTCGGGATGATTTGTGTGTTTTCGGGAGAGTTTTGGATTGATTTGGGACACTTAGTCCCTTGGTTGGAGGCTTAGGTTGTGAGAGTTGACTTTTGTGTAAACAACTCCGGAAAGGTATTTGATGGTTCCAATAGCTTTGTATAGCAATTTTGGACTTAGGCGTATATCCGGATTTGTATTTGGAGGTTTGTAGGTTGTTTTGGCTTGAATTGGCGAAGTTGAAAAGTTGAAGTTTTGGAAGGTGATAGGTTTGAACAAGTATTGACTTTGTCGATATCGGGTTCGGATTGCGATTTCGGCAGTTAGTATAGGTCTGTTGTGTCATTCAGTACTTGCATGCAAAATTTGAGGTCATTCAGAGTTGATTAGACTTGTTTGGTGAAAGTTTTGAATCTAGAAAGTTCATTAGTTCATTAGGCTTGAATTGAGGTGTGATTCATGGTTTTGATGTTGTTTTATGTGGTTTGAGTCCTCAAGTAAGTTCGTGTTATGTTTTGGGACTTGTTGCTATGCTTGGACGGGGTCCTGGGGGCCTTCGGTGTGTTCCGGATTGGTTTCGGCATGTTTTGATACTTTGTTACATTGCTGAAGTCTTATCAGTTCTGCTGCTTTCACACCTGCGACATTTGTCCGTAGGTGCAAGTCCACAAAGGTGGACAGTGGACCACAGAAGTGGTGGTTTGTCGAGCTCTGGGATTCCGCAGTTGCGGGCATGGGTGCGCAGAAGTGCGATCTTAGAACCGATCCTTGGGCTGTAGGAGCGGCGCCACAGGTGCAGCTACTTGACCGCATAAGCGAGATTTTGGGACTTAAGTGAAGTCCGCATCTACGCTTACTTTTCTACAGATGCAGCATTGCGGATGCGAATAATGGACTGCAGAAGCGAAATGTCTAGGCAGAATAAAGCTTGGACAAGGGCTTTATTTCATTTATCATATTTTAAGTTAGAGAGCTCGGTTTTGGGAAACTTTGGAGGAGATTTTCACGATTTGGATTGGGATTCGAGCCGTCCGGAGGTGGATTTGCGTGGG